CACTCATCAGGGGATTTAATAAGAATCAGTTCTTTACCATCGCTTCTTATATACAAAATAGTTTACATAATAACAATAATAGACATATATCTAATCTATGCGGCGCGAAGTTTAACAGTTCACTGAGCTGTTGCGTAGGAGGGCTTTGTTTCTATGGCGGCAAGAAGACACGAGTTCATTGCGTTTGTTGAGTGTAGAAAGTTTCGGTCGGTAAATGATTAGAAATTTTTCCTTTAGGCAGAGGCTGCATCTTTTGCTAGAGCCGTGTTGTACGATGAATGCGAAGACAGAATGCGCCATGAAATATAGTGTTCGATGTTGTTGTCTTTGACAGTCCAGATGTACTTGCTTAAATTCTGTATACGAGGGAAACCCTGACCCTGTACACCCCAAATAATCATACTTAAATAGAATAAATGTTTGAAAAGAAAATTTGCCCTAAGCGGGATTTGAACCCACGTCCCCCTGTTACTAGTCAGGTGTGATGACCACTACACTATCAGGACAACCATGCTGGCAACACGGCAATCAAAGATGTGATTTACGTGATCGGAGACGTGGTCTCCCAGGAAACTTAATTTTCAATGTGACAGGGTAGGGGAAGCCTATAACCCCATATGAAACCCAACTAAGGATACACGACCGAAGTCAACTTAGCAGATGACAAAGGAGGATCCAATTACGGATACTGGCTAATTTCAATTAAACAAATTCTGTATACATTTATTCTATTTAAGTATGATTATTTGGGGTGTACCGTGTCAGGGTTTCCCTCGTATACAGAATTTGTAAATCACATCTTCGATTGCCGTGTTACCAGCATGGTTGTCCTGATAGTGTAGTGGTCATTACACCTGACTAGTAACAGGGGGACGTGGGTTCAAATCCCGCTCAGGGCAAATTTTCTTTTCAAACATTTATTCTATTTAAGTATGATTATTTGGCGGTGTACAGGGTCAGGGTTTCCCTCGTATACGGAATTTATATATATGTATATATATTATGATTATAGACAAATATGTATATTATCCTTATAGAAAAATTAGATAAGTAGGTAATTAGTTCACTGGTGTGAACAAAAGTAAGTAGTGCCGCTTGTGCCTCACAGAAAAACTTTGTTTAGTTAGAGCCAAGAAGCAGTCTTACTAAACAAAAGAACAGAACTCATTTCTAAATGCCGCCGCGAGAATAAGTTTCACAAGCCGCCAACAATAGCTCTATAGAATCTTTATTTCACACGTAGATTAGATCATCACACCAGTGAATTAATTAGTTACTTAACTAATTTGTTAAGTGGTTCGTACAGGACTGAATTTTTTTCAGGTCTGATTTTCACTATTGCTTAAATAGTGCTTTACTGCGAAGGATCGTGCACATATACGTTTCATAACCGCAGTTCATGTATATGTATTTCATATGTTTGTTGTTTGATTTATCATCTACGGGTTTATGTCGAATTAATTTGATGGCCTGCTCCCAGTTGGCTTGTTAGCTCAATTGGTAGAGCGCTGCACTAGTATCGCAGAGGTCAGTGGTTCGAATCCCGTACAGGCCTGAATTTTTTTCAGGTCTGATTTTCACTATTGCTTAAATAGTGCTTTACTGCGAAGGATCGTGCACATATACGTTACCTAGTCATTCTAAGCAACATATGGCAATCTGCGGTCTTTCCTCACACTTAGGTAGCACGGAAAGCCGTAAAACTCTTGAACAAAAGCTCATCTTTCAAACCGGCCGTCTAAATCCCACAGGGATCAACGAACGCTTTTCATTCCACTAATTTATTCGTGTTTTTCTCGTTGCCATTTTCTGCCTTTAAAAACACACGCAACCCACAATTCCTCTATTCGCTCCGACGAAGGGCTAACGCTCGAAACGTCAGCTTTTGTAATCGTTACGGTGGCCAATTTACCATTTCAACTTGGTTGATATATCCAAATTATTTCGTTACCCCCGCCGACGCAGTTCCAAACAGTTTCTTTAGAAACTATCAGCCTTTATTCATCAATATTAGGCATGTTTTTCATCACGCCACAACTTGGATCTTAAATTCTGTCCAATAATAATCAAAGTAGTTTTTTTTCTCTCTACGGTTTATGGTATTAAACGTTCAAACTGCTTTTAAAGGAGACATCATCAGAATACAATTTTGAGTCAGCTCAGAATAGATCCTTCAGTCAGGCAAAGACAAAGAGCGCCGTGGAGCGCCATATGGCAACCTAAGGAACCAAGATTGTGATTACTTCAGAAATTGAAGCAAAGATGATATTACAAACGGCATTGTATTTCATCCCTTTCGCTGTTACATGCTTTACTTTATATGACTGAGTCCATTCTTACTTCTTATTCATATTACGAAGTCCTTCTGAAGAAACCATCCTTTATGAAGGAAAAGAGATCGCTTATGATAAAAATCAATACGATAAACAATACATCACTTGAATCATCTAATTTTTATTTTGAAGCAAAGGTAAAGGTTCCCTTGTGAAAAAGGTATTCTTAATTGGGAAAAATCCTTCAGTACTAGTTGTTCGTCAAGATTGTGAGATTATAAACCATGAACACTTAACATTCGAAATAGCGTTCCTCGAAATCAGCTAACCTAGTAAAAATAACTAGTTACAGCGATGTTACTGAGTAACATCGAATTGTGGAAAATTCTGCAGTCTCGTAAGAGTATTAATGCGGAAAAAAAAAAGGATCTGCCTAATTTCTGCTCTCAAGGCGGGTAGTCGTTCGAGGAATAGTCTCAGGAGTTATCGAGTGTAGAGCTTCGGAAACACTTTTTAAGTGAGAACAAAATAGTGATGGTCGCTAGAAGGAATTGGTTGCTCAAGAGAGTTGGATGTACAGTATTATTTTTTTTCACGGACACCAAACCTTGCCTCTTGATAAATAGAAGAGATCTGAATTTTAAGAAACTCTTCTGATCAAAACAAGAATGCCAATATTCCAACTTGAGTTTAATTTGTTTTGGGACATAACTAGGGTTTTTCCTTTGATCCTTATTGGAATTAAACGAACTGAACATTATTAATTCGCTTAACCTTTCTTCGATTTTGACGGGAGAGAGGAGCTACATGATACATCATGTAGAAAAGTGGATCGGAGATCGACTCTGTGAAATGTTGATCGCACGAACAGTAACAAAAACTATCAGCTTACCTTGAGACAACCGATTCTTTATAAAGATTTATCCACCCGTATGAACTAGCGACATTAGTTCGACTGTAACTAAAGGACAACGCCGCAGCTTGAACGAGTAGGCGCAGACGCATATCAAACGGCTTATTTGTGTTGCAGGTGCCACCTCCAAGCTGAAATGCCTTCTAGACCCAGCTTTGTCTCTCAATACGGATTTTTCAATTTCTCTTTCCCCCTTCACTCGAGTACGTATTCACGGACACGAAAGGTTTTTACGTTCGATTACTGAAACCAACAGTTTTGCTATGTTGCTCGCGGGTCCATTTCGGACTTAGAAAGCACACTCAGAGAAGGCAAACGGCATTAAAGGTTGGCTTTTTTCTGAGTAGTTCAGAGAAAGGGAAAAGTAATGACATCCTTTCTAACAATTTATTTTACACTTGGCATCTCTCCAACAAAAAGCATAGACGCTAACCTAGTTTTCTTTGTGAATGGTTCCGACAAAGGGACATTAGCCAGACATACACAAGAACACATGTGATGCTTTGTTATGTTCACAAACTGCGCAACTGACAGATAGAGCGAATATACCACTTGTTGGCACCTCCAAATAAGTTTACAAAGCAAATACATCAAGTGCTTCAAATAAATGCTTATCATGAAGAGGTTCAGCTTTGTCCCTCAGTACGGATTTTTCCCTCAGTACGGATTTTTTTTTACGGATTTTTTTAAGCTACGAAGGGCTCTACTTCCGTGTCATCAACTTCCAAAATAAGGGAAACTTATACAAGTTCAGTCTCTGTATGATGGTAAGTGGCATAGGTAATCAACCGGTACGAGCGTTACCTCATGGAAAAGAATGCCACACGTGCTGTAAGTGCTCGATAAATATCAGTAGTGAAGCAGAAGGAACTAATCTTCGTGAATGTAGCATGGTATGGTACACAACTGATATTTATAAAAAATATATGGCACCTGATATTAAAAGAAGATTCTAGAGAAAGGCCACAGGTATCTAAGAAGAATTTTAGACAATTTAGAATGTCTTAAATAGGGGTTGTCGGTTAAATTTCGTAAGGGCAGTGTCACGTTGGTCGACTTGTACAAACCCGCTAGTTCGCATTTGATTTGACACTTACAAGAAGCACCGAGCGAACTTAACTAGGGAGGACCTGTCGTCAAAAACTTGACGATCTCGCAGGTTTAGGTTTGCACCTATGCAGTGCATACATGTAAATCAGTAATTATGAATTTCGATTAGAAAGCTCGGCAAGTATTCGCTATAGTTTAGTTTGCTTTACTGAAGCGAATAAATCGGCCGACTTGGCGGCTAGTCACTAAACTACGAGTCGACAATACCGTTTATACATGGTTTTTGTTATGTGAATCTTTTCATTTTCACTTTGTAATCCTGTGCTTCTGGCATTTGCTTTTGCAAACTTTTAAGAAAAGAACCCATGACCTTAGCAGAAAAATTACAAAACAAAACAAATATAATCTGATGAGGCAATGAAGGTAGCTTGGCGCGCCAAAGGTAATATCATCATAAATAATTTAGTTTGGATTTAGCTCGCCATCATCTTCATCTGGTCATCGTAGTTTTTCACTTTCAGTGTATCATAACAGTGAGGCATCAAATATTCCACCGCCGTCGTTCTGACTCCTCTTAAGCACGGATGAAATTCATACAATTGCTAGCATATGTAATTAAACTTTCATTTCCAATGAAAGTTTAATTAATTATGCGGGTAACTGACTTTGTTAGCAGACAAACCATGTTCAGTACACGGGTATCTCCTGCTGTTTCCTATAACGGTGTGCGAATCGTCCTCTCGGTTGTTGTGCTATTTATTTCAAGACCAACTTATTTCGTGACTCACTTAGACCAACTTATTTCGTGACTCACTTAGACAAACCGTTTTCGTAGGGTTCCAAGTTTCCTTAAGACGAAAATAACACCTTCATTTACACAAACAAAAGTTTCAGAATGCTTATGCAAAAGAGGTACGTATACTTAATAAATGTTTCTGTTTGTAACCATCAGATAGATATGCGGTGAGTCCAACAAAACAGTCAAACAATCGGGGAAGCACTCACTTTCGTTATCGTTTCTGTTTAGATGATAATGACATGTGACCCGACTTGTGTTTTTTCTTCCTTTCTTTCTTGCATCAATTATTTTTAGCGGCAGCCTGTGTACATCATTGTTTAAAGATCGAGTCCAGCTACCGGTCGACGAACTTCTTACGGAACGGCGAATCGGTGCTGTTTTCACATAATGCACTCGTGCGGGTTCAAGTAAAGGTTCAGACGCAGTTTCTACATCAGATGCCGGACTCACGCATGTTTCAATATTGGCCTCCCCATAGAACGCGTAGTACGCTGCTTCTGGAGCACGTTCTAGCGGTGAAAAAGGCTGTAACTCTTCGTTATGGCCCTTAAGTACAAAGCGCTTGTTGGCCATTGTAATCTCTCTACCATCAGGATTCTGCGTGTTATTAAGGACAGCCAGAAGGCTCATTTTTTGATTGATTATTGATTGGTTCACTAATTTCAGAATGATCTTAGATAGCCACATAGTTACAATGCTTATCTGTTTTTCTGTATTTCTATTGGTTTTGTAATCGGACCTTTCAGCGTCACCACGCGCATATAAAAGGCAAGTTTAGCGTCCCTTTAATCAGTTCTTCGTAAGTTTTGAATAGCCTTGGTAAACTTTCGCCCTTTCGTTTTCTCAACCTCTGGCACAAGCGGGGCCGATATGTGAGTACCTTTGTAACTTTGTTTTTTCCTTTCCAGTCTTTTCAGTGTTGGGCGACAATATACAAACAAATATTGCAATGATCTGTATGGATTTAAGATTTAAAGGCCAAATTCGTGCCAATTTGCGAGTCAGTGAACGCCCATCATTTAGATAGAACAAAGGGCTGTTTAGCAGCCACCAAAATTCTTATAATTTGTTTCCAAACTTATGTTCTGTTTTACTTGTATTGTTAACCTCGTTATAGACATCAGAGCCCAGTATTTGACACGCGATTCTTTGATCATGTATTCCGCGGCTTTTCATTAGATTGATAGCACTTCGTTGTATTGTTGTTTCAGTTTATGATCGATCGTTCGATAGATTGATTGACTGTAAGAATAATCGTTATTTTCGTCATTGATTGTGGTTCGTGGTCGATTGCCTTTCAAGAATAAAGATTCATGGAAACAGTCAACTTTGGTTTGTCATTTCGATCAGTAAAATAGTCCCAAACACCTCGTTAACCGCGTTTTGGAGCGACGCGCCCTTGAACTCGAAAATTTAGATTTTGGTCGCCGTAAACGCTACACTGCGTATGGGCGTAGTAAGTGTTTGCTTGGAATATTTCTATTCCAGCGATCAAAGGTTCCATCTAGCCAAGTGGGAATAGAAGTGCCAGAACACGATCGAAGAGGGAAACCAAATAACTGCTCGTGTGGTCTTTCGTTGGTAGCTTTACATAAGAGGGCTCGGATGTAATGCATAACGTCAGGGAGGACATCTTGCGAATTCTTAGACGGCAGATTCTTGGACCTCAGGCCATTACATCTCTCTGCTTGACCACTTCCTGCTGGGTTGTAGCCGGTGGTCCGAACTGGTGCTTTAATTCCCTTTCGTTGTCAGGAAGTTGCTGAACTCTCTATTCCTGGAGGATGTCTCTCGATCGGAATGGACATACGCTGGCATTCTGAAGAGTAAAAAAAGTGAAGAAAGGTACTTAATGACCGAGCTTGTCGACCGTCAGATGGTAAAGGTATGGGTGGCCTTGGTAAGGGGAACCCTCTCCAGGCGGTAGAACTGAGGTTTGTATTTACCATGAACAGGGCATTTGCTTGTAATCTTCTATATATCTTCTATGGAGTAAGGTGGGTTCTTGGTTCTCACAAAAAAGTTTAGTCTGATGGCAGAGGGACCCGTGAAGCTTATGAAGTGAGTCCTCAGTTGTAGTGACGCACGTGGCAGTAACGCCCTTGGTTCTGGACAGGATATTTGGTGCAACGTTTATCGCACATGTAGGATACTGTGGATAAAGTGTCTCCAGTCAAGAAGTATCTCCAGTGCCCTATATGGCCTCAATTATTGCCTTTGCTTCTTTCTCTATGGATGCATGCTAGAGGTCACTACCAATCCAAGGTCTTCCGTTCTGGTCGAGAGTGAATGCTAGTGCTACATCTGACGCATTCGTTTGTACCCATTTTAACGATTTTCTTTATAAGTTACCATGACCTGTGCTCGCCATAGTGAGCCCTTTTCACTTCCTCTTCAATGAAGGTAGAATCTTCCTGGTTGTATTGGATTGCAATCAGCCGCCAGGTCTCAATAAGGCTCTGGAGGTCCAACACTCAGTATGCTAAAACCATAAGCGGACAGACAGGGTTGGTTCAGTGCCTCCCATGATAACGGAACACAACTCTTGAGTGCCGAGACTGGGAATCGAGACCCAGTATTAGGTCAGCACAAAGGCCAGGTAGGGCAGACAGACTGAAACCGTCGTACTTGCGTCCTTTGTAGGAAAGATGAACCAAATATGGTCCCTTGACCTGAACTGCGCTGGATGCAGATGTACCATGGACACTATACCAGATAAAGGATAAACTATCAAGGCTACTCCAGAAAATTTTAATGTATGAAACTCTCTCTACTACAACACTTAGGACAGCATAAGCAGCAGCGATTCTGTTACAATACAACTGTTTATAAATCATTTTATATATTTCCAAATGCGTCCTGAGCACTAGCTGGGCTTACCTAAGTGCTTAATTGGCGGCAAAATGGACAAAAGTATACAAGCAATAATTTAATGGAACGACGGATATTCCAAGGTAAATTTATACAGAAGTCAGTAATGCTAAAGGCAGATTGGTAGGACCTGGTAGTTCTTTGGCTAAGAATCTTGTCTGCAAAGATGTTGCTCTTAAAGCTTTTCCTGATAGGTCTCAAGCTTCGGCGTTTTGCCAAACCTATATCAAATTTCAAAGTGTCACAGGAATATGAGTGATTTGATAGGTTTGTCTCCATTTGTTATTAAAAATTCGCTTTGAAGATAAAAGGATGGCAAAGATTCTCCTTTTTGTTTTCCAGCTTGGCATGCACAAC